CCTGGACAGTGCAGGGCATGTGGGGTAATTTCTGTAGCCCCAGCCAGGAGGCAGATGCCACAGTTAGGCTCTGGAAGTGTCTCTGTAGCACTGGCTGGAATTGTTTACGCTCATGCCAGGCTGGTGTGCAGGATGTTTCTGTGGCATGGCTAGGTAGGGGGCAATGTTCGTATTAGGTTGATGTGTGAAGTGGTTTCTGTGGTGCCAGCTGAGGTTGGCGTTGAAGCTCAGGCCAAACATGGCATGTAAAGTGGTATCTATGACACTGGCTAAGGTAGAGGTATATGAGCAGATTAGGCTGGTATGTGAGGTGGTTTCTGTGGGACTATCTTGGCCCGGGGGGTGCTAAGGGAGTCCGACTGTTTGTAGCACTAAGTTATGGAGTGATGTTCAGGTCAGCCGAGTGTGTACTTCTTCCTGTGGCACTGGCTGGTATAGCAGTGAATGCTTCAGGCGTATGAGGTGTTTTCTGAGATGTTAGCTCAAGTAGGGTTGAAGCCCAGATCACTCTGATACGTGAGGTGGTTTCTGAAGTTTTTATAGAACACCATGTGTACACCAAGTGCTCAAAAGCACCTCACATATCAGAATGATAGTATGAAAGGTCATGTCATGCTCAGGTTGGCATGTAAGGTGGCTTTTGTGGCACTGGCTGGGGTAATAGTGGTTGCCCAGGCCAGGATCGCACGTGAGAGTTTCTGATGCATTGCTTGAAGTAGGCAAAAGTGCTTCACTCACATTGGCATGAGATGCCTATGGTATTGGCTTTGGTGAGGGTCAGTGGAAAGTGTGTGATACGGTTTCTGTGGAAATTAATAGGGCAGTGAGTGATAACCATATAAGACTGGCAGGTGAGGGAGCTTGTATGGCATTGGTGTTGCCCTGGCTAGGCTGACACAAAAGCTAGTACAGTGGGGAAGGGAGTTTTTCTGAAGCTGGCCAGCAAAGAAGGATGGCTAGTCAGGCTCTTGTGTGAGTTGCTATCTGTAAGGAAAGGCCAATAAGGCTGATGCCCAGATCAGACAGACATGTGAAGCGCTTTAGGTATCATTATCCAAAGTAGGGAATGATGCCCAGGTCCTGCTGGTGTATGAAGTGGTTTGTATGGCACAGTTGGGCAATGCCAAGGTCAGACTGAGGTAAAGGTCATAGATTCACAGAAGTTTAGGGCTAGAAGGGACCTCGTGAGATCATCGGGTCCAGCCTCCTTGCTCTGGGCAGGAAAGACTGCTGGGATCCAATAACCCCAGCCATGAACGATGCGTGCCCCAAAGTCTGGGGGGGGCACGGTGACTGCCCGCAGGCGGTGGTGTCGGCAGCAAGGGCGTGCCAGCGGCAAGCAGGGAGCTTGCCAG